CTTCATCTAAAGGGAGAATAGCAGCACAACTTGAAGAACATAATCGATGTCACTGAAAAAAAAAAAAAAGGTCGAGAAGGGAGAGGGTTGACATGTCGTGGTGTTGTTAACCAATGTCATAAAACAGTATGTGTACTACTGTCTTATGAGAAACTATTTGTTCTGTAAACCTTCACCTGAAGTACAGTTAAAAAAATAATTAAAAAAAAAAAAAGCCCTGGCCTGGACGGCTTCGCTGGAGAATTCTACCAAACTTTCAGAGAAGAGTTAACACCACTACTACGAAAGGCATTTCAGAGCACAGAAAAGCATGGGATACTCCCAAACTCATTCTGTGAAGCCAGCATAACCCTGATACCAAAACCAAGTAAAGACACCACAAAAATAGAAAGTTACAGACCAGTATCCCTCATGAACATTGACACAAAAATCGTCAGCAAAATTCTAGCCAACAGAATTCAGCAACATACCAAAAAAATAATTCACCATGATCAAGTGGGATTTATGCCAGGTATGCAGGGATGGTTCAACATCAGAAAACCAATCAGTGTAATCCATCACATAAATGAAATCAAGAACTAGCTTTTGGTTTCTTTCTGTTTCCTATATCATTGATTTCTGCTTCAATCTTTATTATTTCTTCTGCTTACTTTGGGTTTAATTTCCTCTTTTCTTTTTTTTTTTTAGCTTCTTAAGGTAGACGTTGAGGTCATTGATTTGAGACCTTTTTTCTTTTTCCATATAGGTATTTAATGCTATAAATTTCCTCCTAAATACTGATTTAGTATTCCTAAATCATCTTAAAAATTCATTTCCATTCAGTTCAAAATACCTCCTAATTTCTCTTTTTGTTTCTTCTTTGATCCATGGGTAATTTAGAAGTTTATTGTTTAGTTTCCAAATATTTGGGGATTTTCCAAGGATCTTTCTGGTATCGATTTCTAGTTAAATTCCATATGATCAGAGAATAGTATGCTATTTATGACTTGAATCTTTTTCAATTTATTGACACTTGTTTTATGGCCATGATTATGATCTATCTTGGTAAATTTTCCAAAGTCAAGAACCTTACAGCAGAAGAATGTGTATTCCGTTATTCTATAAATGTATATTTTGTTATTCTGTAAGTGTCTGTGGACTATTCTGCAAATGTCAGTCAGGTCAAGTTCATTGATACTGTTCAAGTCTACTGTATCCTTGTCAGTTTTCTGCCTACTTACTTGATTACTGTATTTTTATGCAAATAATGTACACTTTCTATGTTTGTTTGCCAACTGTGCCCAACCCCCGTGAGGTATTTTCATAAGTACTGCTATGCCAATTATTTTTATATGTTGCTGTAAAAAAATTAGCATAGTGCACTTACAAAAACACTTCACGGGGCGGGTGCAGGAGGGTGTGATTGGCAAACAAACATAGAAGGTGCACGTCATTTGCATAAAAATACGGTAATAATTGAGAGAGGTCTGTTGCAATCTCTGACTGTAATTGTGGGTTTGTCTGTAAATCCTTGTGGTTTTGTCAGTTTTTGTTCATGTATTAGGAAGCTCTGTTATTAGGTGCATAAATGTTTGAGGTTGTTATGTGTCCTTGATTAATTGACTTCTTTATGAACTGGTCATCTTTATCCCTGCTACTTTTCTTTGTTCCAAAATTGACTTTGTCTGATATGAATATGGAAACGCTGGTCGCGTAGTGGTTAAGAGCTACAGCTGCTAACCAAAAGGTCGGCAGTTGATATCCACCAGGCGCTCCTTGGA